GAACTGCGGTCGACTACGTGGGAGTCCTGCGACATAGCCATTACGCTAACTGCTGGTTCCCGAAGCAGATGGTTTCTAAAGTCTACCTGTAAGGAGCTGCTTTTTAATTACTAGTTATTACGTTTTTCCACTTAAGAGTTTATTCTTTGAAATTAAATTAAATTTAATACATTAAAATCTTGAAGTATCCTATCCTATATTTGACCCTTTGTTGGAATACAGTTCTCTGGGTTTTAACATAGGTACTGATTCATAGAGTCACCACCACTGCTGTCACTTTCTAGTGCTATTCCTTTATTTATTTATTTATTCATTTTACTTTTAAAAAAATTATTTGTAATTATTTATTTTTGCTATAGGGCGCGAGGGCTCTCCAGACAGACAGAGAGAGACAGACAGACAGAAAGCGAGAAATCACCCCTCAGGGTTGATGGCCACACCGCAATCCCTTCTCCTTCATTCTCCTCTCGGGACCTTGGGCGCGCATGCACACGCGCCCAGCGTGAGTTTTAAGCCACCGGGTCCGGGACGCGAACCACGGTCAACTACATGGGAGTCCAGCGACATAGCCATTGCGCTAACTGCTGGTCCCTATTTATTTATTTATTGATGATGGTGTTTTCTGATTTATATGTAATCGATGTATACCTTTGTGGGTTACATTACGGTTATTTTAAGGTATGCATTCAGTGTATAATAATGAAATCAGGGACATTCATCTTCAACACTGAACGTTGTACATATCTGTTAATATATAGTACCTATTTGTTAATAGTTGTGCTAGTTTATGTATTTCAGAGATGTATTAAATTGCCCATAGTTTTTTTTACTCTGTTGTGATATACTATCCTGTAGCCTCTTCTTTACAGGCACTCTCGTGGCTACTAAAAATCTTCTCTGGGCCCAGTAGGTAGTGAGATTCTTAAGGCACTGGACTCTCACATGGCCGACCATGGTTCAAGTTCAGGACCTGTCAGTATCCCTTTTTCTCTTTCTTTCCTTCTCCCTCTCATGAGTGCACATGCCCGATAGCAAATATAAAACTGTGATAATGTAAACAGAATATCACTGGCGCAAAAACAAGCATGCAGAGCAACGGAACAGAAGAGAGACCCCAGAAATAAACCCCAAAACATGTAGCCTGCTGATTTTTGACAGAGGGCTATCCAATGTGGAACGAAAATCTCTTTCACAGATGGTTCTGGAAAAACTAGGTATCCAGCTGCAGAAAGATGAAACTGGGCCCCTATTTCACACCATTAACAACAATCAACTCAAAATGCATCAAAGATGTACACCTAAGACTCCAAACTATAAAACTACAGGTGCATAGCACAGGGGAATGACTTGGAGACACTGGAGTAGGTAAAGAATTTTTAAAGAAGACCCCTCCTCCCAAAGCACAGGCAAACTCACACGTTCCCACACGTGCCGAAAATCCTGAGAATGGAGGAGAGGAGATTGCGGCATGGCTAACCTCCCTGGGGGGGTTATTTCATACTTTTTCTCTCTGTGTGTCTCTCTGGTGAACACACACGCCGTATAGTAAAAATCTCTCAAAAAAAAAAAAAAAGAAAAAAAAAAAAACAACCTGATCTCAAATTCCATGTGTCAATATCCTTGGAAAAGTGCCTTAACTTTCCTATGCTTCATGTACAAAATCGGAAAGCTCTCATGCCCACCAAATAAGATTTTGTCAGAATAAAGAGGATGAATATATAGAGCCCTTGACAGAGTGTCTGTTACCTGGTAAGAAATTACTTTTGGCATCTATCATCAGTAGCATCATTTCTAATAATATTACTGCTGTTATGGAGAATGAGTGGGTTAAACACCTCTTCTCCATAAAATAACCATCTGATTTTGAAAAGACGTAATATTCCGAGCACTGAGAGTAATGCCGAAAAAATAAAAGACGTGTGTAGGTATCACGTATTATTCTGTCTATAATACCTACCTTAGTTGTGATAATACTACTATCATATCCGTGTTTATTATTCTTGATATTTATACATCACCTTCTATAAAACAATGAAATATAAGATATCATCCCTAGAACTTATGTTTTCCTTCGCATTTCATTTGGAAAATTGTGATCTGGTATAGCACTTCCTGGCTTATGTGCAATATAGAAAATGAAAACACGAGAATATAGACTTAAGTATAATGACCGTTCCCTGTGTGCCTTTATTTTTTTTCCCCAAACATGTGAGATCAGAAGACAAAGAAAAACTGTACCTTATAAAATACATGATCAAATTTCTTCACTTAAATAAAGCCTTACATACATTGGACTAAAAAAATCTTTTTTAGATTATACTAGTACTTTGAAAGCTTTGGAAGGATCCCATACTGAGGATGGTGTTGTTTTTCTTAGTCATTATAAGATCAAAACCTTCTTTCTACTTCTAGAAAGAGACCGAGAACACAGTGACTTAGGGGAAATGCAAGTTCATTCTTTCACAAGTGGAATAGACTGGAATGTGGTGGTCTCATTGTTCAGGGGCTCAGATCAACCATCCCTAGTGAGGCTCATTCTTTTTCTAAATCACTTCTTGGTTGACACCACCTGTCTGCACTCTATCCAATCCTGATCAATTTCTAGGAAGCAAGAAAGAGTTGTAGAGTGGCAGAAAGCCCTAGTTGGCTGTTTATCCCTCTTTGGAGGTGCCTTCTCTAGAATACTCACTGTAATTTCTTCTTGCATTTTTTTGACGAGAAATTCCATCAAGCAGGGGGCTATGACGTATAGTGAGAAAGTCTGGGAAAAATCATATTTTAGGAACACTCACTGACACCTGGAGGTGGCAAATGGGGTTCTGGTAACGGGGAAGAATGCAGAGTGGATGGCAGGTGGGCATCTCAAAATTTCTGTCCCATTTATTATTAATAGGATTCACGGCTGTAAAAACACAATAAACAAATAATATTAATAGATGTCCATAAAAGATCAAAAGGAAAAACTTCCATGGCAGAGAGAATGCTACATGTCCTGTCTCTGTTTCATGTTCACCCTGGAGTCACTGGGAGACTAAATTGCCCAGCCTCTCTGGCAGTAGGGGCTCCATGCTTGAGTTCTGACTTATGGACTGAGGCCAGCAGTGATGTTTGGCAGACCTGGCCCCTAAAACCTTTCATGGGACCCTCCATCCTCCTCCTTCTTTAGACTACTGGTCAGATTCAAAGAATGCAAAACACTTCATGGTCCAAAGGAAGATGGCGGAGCCATAGAATAGAAGAAGGTTGGATCCATTTAATGCCTGGAACGGAGCAGCTTCGTCCCTTCTGCCCACATGATGACCTACATTGAACTCTGGCATCAGGAAAATAAATCTTTTGGGGATGACACTCTGAGATTTAGGAGTTGTTTACAGCACAAAGCATTGCATGCACTAATCATTAGCTATCCCAGTAATACATCATCCTGAATATGACCTCCATTAATTTATTGGTATTGATTCTTTATATATTAATGCTTCTAAAAGGTAGATCTTGTGGCTAGCAGATGGTCTAGTGGTTATGTCACTGGACTCCCACATGGCTGACCACGGTTCGAGTCCCAGATTTGGTGACTTGAAACTCCACACGGCATGTGTTGCGTGCCTGCCCAAGATCGAGGGAGAGGAAGGGATTGCAGCATGGACATTCCCCCTTGGGGGGTGATTTCTTACTTTCTCTTTCACTGTCTCTCTCTCTTTCTCCAGTGAGGATGCACACCCTATGGAAAAAACTCAACCCCCCCCCACAGAAAAATGTGAAAAGTATATCTTGAAATTTTACAAACACACACACACACACACACACACACGCACACACACACAAGAAAGACTTCAAGCAGTTCTTGGAAAAAAGGAATTAACGTATGAGTTTACTTGAGTCTAAAAATTTTGAAAGTTGTGTAGAATTTTTCATAATATGCGTCTTCAGTGTACTTTTTAAGCTCCCTTTTATATATGTTATACTACATATTATATGGTACAGAGACCAAAAAATAAAAACACTTCAATCCCCAAATGTATCACTAACGATACTTGAAATTGGTTTTCTGAATTAAATGAGAACTCTTAATTTATTCAACACAAAATAATTTCTTGGTTTTTTTTTTTCTTTTTGAGGTTTATGCTATAGGGTATGTGTGCTCGCCAGAAAGGCAGAGAGAGACAGAGAGACAGAAAGTGAGAAGTCACCCCCCAGGGGGGATGGCCACACCACAATCTCTTCTCCTCCATTCTTCTCTCGGGTTCTTGGGCACAGCCGCACACATGCCGGGAGTGAGCTTAAGCCACCGGGTTCGGGACTCGAACCGCAGTCAACTACATGGGGGTCCAGTGACACAGCCGTTATGCCAACTGTTGGTCCCTCAACACAAAATAATTTCAATGAAAAAAATGTACAAAATATCCTTCAGACGAACAAATAAAGACATGTACATTTAGAACAGTTCCCCCACATTGAGTTGCCCAAGTGAAAAACAACAACAAAATATCAAAAGGAATTTCCAGTTCTTGGTAGGGTCTGTGCAATGGGAACTTGCCTGCCACACCAATGATTTTCAGCCTCTAGTTAGAAATAACCATGCATGTGAAGAAATCTTTGAAACATTTATAAAGGGTTTAAGTGGATAAAAGGAGAGGTATATCATGTCCTAGAAACAGGAAAAAATGATCAATGAAGTCAGTTCTCCTTCAAGTCATGTACACTTTCAGTGCAATCCCCATCGATAGCCGTACTAATCTGTTTTGATGAACTTCAACTGGTGGGTTTGAAGTACAGCTGCAGAGGTAAGATGCCAGACAAGGCAAGAACAAATGCTTAAGGAATATGTTCACTGGGTTTTTTTTATTATATGACAAAGTGATTGCTACTCGGGGAACTTCAGGGTTGATATGGAAATGAAACAGAGATTTCTTGCCATTGTACTTTAAAGTTCATGAAAAAGAAACATGTCTACACTTCAACACTCCAGCAGTTTATTTTGACAATTTGCCCTCTAATTCAAGGTGGGGCCTTCTGCTCTTCTTCACAGAGAGGGGGGCGGAACCTTCTCTTGAGTAGCTCCAAGTGGGCTGTGCCTGGTCATCCTGGTGGGGAGGAGCTGCCTTTCACCAAGCTGCAGCTGACAAGAAGCTTCAAGGTAATGGCTGTCTTAAACTGAGCTCTTTTCTAGTGACTTCTCAGGGCCCTAATGTAGAGACGAGAAAACTAGGGGATGGAAGTCTCAGAATGGTGGGAATGGTGTGTGGCTTTGAAAGAATTCCTGGTGTTTTGAAGGTATTAATTCTCTGGAATTTTTGTGTCTCCCAGTATTTTAAAGTCTACAGGGGGAGAAGGTGTGATCAGATTACAGCCTCTAAATTAAGGCTACAGTGCAGACTGGCCATTCATGAGAGTTTATTCACTTGGAAGGTTGTGTTTCTATTGCTGGACAATCTTTAATTGCTTGAATTTTCAGGCATTTATCAATTTGCAAAGAAAAATAGCTGGTAGATGTATTTGATGGCATGGAGGGGAAAACTTCTATGAAATTATTGATACGCAGAAAGATTATGTGTCACGTGTATGTGCGCACAGAAATGGGATCCAATATGTAGAGTGAAGATCCTTGCACAGAGTGTATGCGTGCATATGTGTGTGAGTAGAAAAATTCTGGAAGAACACAAACTCCCATGTTAACAGTCAGCATTCCTGGGTGGTCAGATTGCTATTTTAATACTATTTCTTCAGCCTATTTCACCATGTTTAGATTTCCCCATGGTTATGTTTATAATCATGAAAGGCAAATGAAGGTGACGCGGCATGCCAGCGGGGGGCCCAGTTGAGATCGCTAGACCACCCTAAAAAGCAAGATGCGGTGGCGCACACCTGTGATCACAGCTACCGCGGAGGCTGAGGAAGACTGAGACGTAGAAAAGTCATGTCTTAAAAAAATATTCTGGGGGACCAGCAGTTAGCGTAATGGCTATGTCACTGAACTCCTCCTATGTAGTCGACCGCGGCTGAGGTCCTGGACCCGGTGGCTTAAACTCATGCCGGTCACACGTGCGTGCGCGCCCAAGATCCCGAGAGGAGAATGGAGGAGAAGGGATTGCAGTGCAGCCATCCCTTTTGGGGGGAGATTTCTCACTTTCTGTCTCTCCAGCGAGCTCACACACCCTAAAGCAAAAATCTCTCTTTTTAAATTAATTAATTTATATTTATTTTAATTTGATGAGAGAGAGAGAGAAAACTAGCCGCCAGGTCCAGAACTTGAACCGTAGTCACCCATGAGGGAGTCTAGCGCCCTTAACCACCACACCACCTGCCGGCCCCACAAAAATCTCTCTTCAAAAAAAAAAGAAAGAATTCCACCAACAGAACTGTTACACTCAGCATAAAAAGTTTCTAGATGTCTGAGAAGGCTCCTGGCTAGATGGATGTAAGTTCCCACCCTTCTCTCATAAGAAAGATGTGGTAGTGATTAAGGTCCTGCCTATAGCTCATGGGCAGGCTGCTGTTCTGATCCTGGCCAGAAGATTGTACCAGACAGATTTCCTAAACTTTCTCCAGGGGATCATTATGAAGCAGACAGACAAAGCATTCAAACTATTTTGTATTCGTACACTGCGAAACAGGATGTGCAGTGTAACTGTAGTTCCGTTGAAAGAATAGAACGTGTAGGAAGTAAATCAACTTGGTAATTGATTGGAGGATTCAAATAGAAAAGTTATAGTCTCACTGTAGAAATGGGACAGTTGTTACTTCCTTTTCTCCTGTCGCCCCTTCCCACTACGTCTGAGAGAGAAGATTTCCACATGAACCACATATTGTATCTATGCCATAGACAGAATGTCAAAAAAAGAATAATAATAATAAGAGGACAACTCAACTTGTCATCTACATCCCGGATGTCATTCACCTCGTTCCTGTGTTTCCGAATGACATGCCTGCTAGAGTTTCAGTGGGAGAATTTGTTCACATCTTTTCCCTTGACTTAGTTTGATTCTCTAGGTTCTTATTTGGACAGGCGAGGTTAATGTCTGAGATGCCTGTGACCTGGGCAATCTGTGTGTGATGCCACTTGAGCCCCAGAAAGACAGCACAGCCACACTCGTGCCGACAGAATGAAGGCCCTGCTGGGCAAGCAGTTGGAGTGAGAATCAAGACGGCTGGATCACAGGGATAGGCCCACCCTAGACATCCTTGTGACAGTAGGTGAGGCTCTTGCCATTCCAAGAAACATTTCATGTTACAATCCTGCTGACAACTTGGAGAATAATCTGTTCTGCTTCTCACTCTGCAGTCACGACCCCTTAAGTTAAACACCACATTTCTCTCTTTTTTAAGAATTACTTTTATTAGTAGTAGTAGTAGTAGTTTATTATAGTGCACGTGTGCTCACCAGAGAGAGATAGAGAGAGACGGTGAGAGAGCAAGCTGCCAGGTCTAGGACTCAAGAACCACATATTGTATCTATGCCATAGACAGAATGTCAAAAAAAGAATAATAATAATAAGAGGACAACTCAACTTGTCATCTACATCCCGGATGTCATTCACCTCGTTCCTGTGTTTCCGAATGACATGCCTGCTAGAGTTTCAGTGGGAGAATTTGTTCACATCTTTTCCCTTGACTTAGTTTGATTCTCTAGGTTCTTATTTGGACAGGCGAGGTTAATGTCTGAGATGCCTGTGACCTGGGCAATCTGTGTGTGATGCCACTTGAGCCCCAGAAAGACAGCACAGCCACACTCGTGCCGACAGAATGAAGGCCCTGCTGGGCAAGCAGTTGGAGTGAGAATCAAGACGGCTGGATCACAGGGATAGGCCCACCCTAGACATCCTTGTGACAGTAGGTGAGGCTCTTGCCATTCCAAGAAACATTTCATGTTACAATCCTGCTGACAACTTGGAGAATAATCTGTTCTGCTTCTCACTCTGCAGTCACGACCCCTTAAGTTAAACACCACATTTCTCTCTTTTTTAAGAATTACTTTTATTAGTAGTAGTAGTAGTAGTTTATTATAGTGCACGTGTGCTCACCAGAGAGAGATAGAGAGAGACGGTGAGAGAGCAAGCTGCCAGGTCTAGGACTCAAACTGCAGTCGGCACGTGGGAGTCCAGTGCCTTAACCACCACTCCGCCTACTGGTCCCAAAGACCACATTTCTTATTAAAATCATGTTAGATTGAGAATTTAGGTAGCAAATCATTTTGTTCCCGGCTGTGCAGGTATAACACTTTATCATTTTAAGGTCACAGGTTCTAGTTTTGAGAGAGAATCACATGTACTTAACTTTTTGGAATAAATGATTCGAGAGGCTATTCAGGTATCTTACCTGAGGTTCCGACCAGTGACCCGACTCCGGTCCTTGACAGTTACCCTACCCGATAAGTAGCCATAGTAACCATTGTAAATCTCTGCCTTCTAACTTCATGCTTATGACAAGGCTCATCATATTGTTGTCTGTCTCCAGGAGATACAGACCCTGTCGCTTTTGTCTGCCTGCCCTGGGTGAACAGGGAAGCCTTGGCAGCTTAAGAAGGATCAAGCTATGCGTTCATCTAGGACACTGCTGCTTCAAGAGTTCTTCTTGAACATGCAGCATAAGAATCACTTGGGAACTTGCCAGGAATACCCAATTTTGAATTCCATCCAGACCTTCTGAATAAAACTCTCAGGATGGGACCTAGGAACATAAGTCCTCCAGCCGATTCTGATGCATGCTAAGTTTGGAGACCCACTGCCTTAGGTGTAACTTAGGCACAAAAGTACCGGTGTGTTAGTAACTTCAGTAGAGTTCCTGACACACCACCACAAATTCTCCTACCTCTGCCAGCATGTACACACATTCACTCCTTAATACACGTCTCTCATAAGGGCATGTTTCTGAATTTGAGGAATTATAAAACCGCTTTGTCAGATCTCAGACCCCTCCTTACAGTAGACTGCATTTTTCTCCTCCGTCGGAAGCCCCTCGATCGTTGTTCTCTCCCTTTGTCTCTTCTCTCTTTGCAACTGTGCCACCTTCTCTGTCAACAAAATACTTTCATTTGCTGATATTTTCTTCTTTCCCCTTTCTTTATTTCAGTATCTTCCAGTATCGGCGCCATTCGGACGACGTGTTCAAACATCCTTGGGAAATTGAGGCGGAGGAGAACAGGACATACAATCTATCAATCTTTTGTAGTCCTAACACAAGAGACTTTGTTAAAAGATGTGTTTTTGGTAGGACTTGCGTTAGCGGTGGCAAGGAGGGCCAGCCATCTCAAGCTCTGATAATAGCCTCTTAGCAGACAAATCTAACCCGTAATGGATGCAGAGTATGTCTTATGCAATTGGAAAGACCAGCTATGGCCAGCCAGAGTGTTGTCCAAGTATGAAGTGTCATCAAACAGTAAGAGGAAAAATACATTTTCCCTAGAAGTTCAAATACTCACCCTAGATGAAAAAATTAATGTGGATAGCGCAGACACAAAGATCCTAAGTAGATCTGAAATTGAAGCCCTTGCCTCCTCACTAGCAGTACAGTCAGAGGTCAGTGCTCCATCTGAAGAAACGGCCTATGGAAGATCATTAAAAGCGGCTCTGGATATTCTGAATGAGAGAACAAACATGAGTCAAGTAAGCATTCCTGATGAAGAAGATATCACTACACTGTTTCAAGATACACCACCAAGGCAGTCTGATCCACCCCCTCGTAAAAAGTACAGGCAACCTGAAGGCGACCTACTCAAGTGTCTCGAGGGAAGTGAAAACCCAGCATCCCTGTCAGTATCTTCAGAGAGTGGTGATACCCTGGACGACGATAAATCAGAAATCCAGGCAACCCTTGGTATTATTTCAAGTGACATAGAAACAAAGTCATCACAAAATTTCAGCTATTGCCCGTCTCTTTCCCCACTTTCAGAAGATGATGAAAAAGAGAGCAAGATAAAGATTGACATCTCGGCAGGTATGTTTGTGCATGCCAAAGTCAAAGACGAGGGTGTGTGCGTTAAAGATGAAAAGTTTCTTCCGCCTTTTCCCAAAGCGGTGAAAGACGAGGCAGAAGATACCTGCCCAGAGGCCCTCGTTGTTTCCTCTGAATGCTCTACATTCTCAGAGAACTTGGAGGATCCTGGAGAGGGTCCCTGGAATCCGTGCGTAGACGCTGGCCAGGGTCAGCCTTCTGTGGAATCAGAGACGGGTGCCGCGTCGTCCTCTGGGAGCGGTTCTTCGGAATGCCAGGTTTCGGTCAGTGCCGCTAACCACGACCTGGATTATTCACTTCTCGTGAGTGGGGACAGAAGTCTTCTGAGGCTGGATTCCGAGGAACATGAAGAAGGAGCTCAAGCTTCTGACAGGCCGTCGGCTCTCAATCCTGTCAACATGTCTGCGTTAGATGACGATGAGGAAGATGAAGTACTTCCACCCCTCGTTTTTCATTACGAGCCACGTTCGTTTGAAACAGGCATGATAGTCTGGTTTAAATATCAGAAATACCCATTTTGGCCAGCTGTGATAAAAAGCATCAGACGAAAAGAGAGGAAAGCCAGCGTGCTTTTTGTTGAGGCAGACATGAATCCTGAAAAGAAAGGCATTAGAGTAGGTTTTAGAAGACTGAAGAAATTTGACTGTAAGGAGAAACAAGCACTAGTGGAGAAGGCCAGGGAGGATTACAGTGAAAGTATTGACTGGTGCATCTCACTGATTTGTGACTACAGAGTCAGAATAGGTTGTGGTTCTTTCACGGGCTCTTTCCTTGAGTATTATGCTGCCGATATCAGCTACCCAGTTAGGAGAGCGATCAAACGGGATACCTTCAGGAACATATTTCCAAAGCTGAACAATGAAGATACTATGGAACCAATGGCTGTGACTTCCCAGGCCAAGAAAATATCCTTCCAGAAAACTCTCCCGGATCGGATGAAGGCTGCCCGGGACCGTGCCAACAGGAACCTAGTGGACTTCATTGTGAACACGAAGGGAACAGAGAGCCATCTGATGGCAATTTTAAACGGCACGAAAGGATCCAGGTGGCTGAAATCATTTCTGAATGCAAAGAGGTTCGCACCCTGTATCGAAACCTACTTTGAGGATGAAGACCAGTTGGATGAGGTGGTGAAATATTTACAGGAAGTCTACAAACAAATAGATGAAAGAATGCTGGCTCTGATAAAAGATAAGATCAAGTTTATCCTGGAAGTTCTTCTGCCAGAAGCGATTATTTATTCAATTTCTGTCGTCGATGGATTAGATTATAAGGCGGCCGAAGTGAAGTATCTGAAAGGACCATCTCTAGGCTACCGGGAAAGAGAATTATTTGATGCGAAAATCATATCTGAAAAGAGACGGAGATCATTAACAAATGAAGCTCGTTAAATCTCCTGGGAGTGTAAACCGTATCAGGGAGCTTTCATTGCTACTAGTTTAAGAAATAACCAGAGCAGTTCTAACAGGCAAATATTTTCAGAAAATGGGACATTAGATAATGTGTCTGCTCTCTCATTCACTGACCTGGGTATCTCTCGATCCCTGGCTGTCGCTACATCTTCACTTCTGTTTCTTGTAGTGCCTCAAGGTCAAACTTGTCTGCATACCTCAGCAGTCCTACTTTCTCACACAGTGTTAGAAAGCATACTTCCTAAATGATTTTTAAGGGAAAGTACAATTTTGATTCATGACGTTTTCGTGACTGTGCTGTATGGTTAAGTACAGTGTGCACAATCATTTTGATATTGAAATTGCACTGATGTTAGACGTATAGAGCAAGTTCATTAGAAAAAAGTTGAAAAGAAATGCCAGGCATATATTTTTTGGCGTAATTTTTATAAAACAATGGCTTTTCTCTTGAGATAGTTGGATTTTTTTTCTTCTGCTATGCCTATTTATTCCTGGGGGGAAAAAATATCTCTGAGACATAAAACCTAATATAGATATGCTTTGCTATATATCATTATGGACTGCAATTGCTTTTGTAAAAAAAAAAAAAAAAACTATCTGATATTCACAAATAAAGTGAATGCCTTTTCCTGCATGCAGTCTATGTGGATGTGAGTAACATCTCAGCATGCAGAACATAACTTTGGCAGCCTTAAACAGGATCGTTCAGTCTACACTTTCCTGAAATTCCATTTGGGGGAGTATCGGTTCCTTCCGCCATTGAACAGTGTCTTAGAACAGATAGGTTTCTGGCTGTTTTCGTAAGTCACAGTGAGCCGACGTTTCAATGTAGCTGTCTGACCCCATGTAGAAAGCAGTTAGAGTCATCCTTTTCATGGACGGGCCACTCTAGGCCTATGAGTCCAGGCTGACTGCCAAAGAGCCTATCTAGTTTCATATGAAGTGTTCAAAAGCATGCGCTTTGTTCTGAGTCTTTTATCCATATACCTAGTTATTTGTCTCGACCCAAGAACCTTTAACATCTGGCTTATTCATAGCGTGGCTCCATTTGGTTCCAAAGTTATAAATGCTGGCTGGCGAGTCATTCCAAACTGCTGGAAGGTGTAGATGGACCAGAATTTGGGAAGTTTGAAACAGGCCTCCAAAAGCCTCCATTTGGCTAAATGTGGCAAGTATCTGAACAGGATTACATGAACACAGTTGAAATTCTGAAGCTAGAGAGTTGTTTATGCTAAGCTGAAAGAAGATTTTTGTGGGAAGAAATGTTAGAAAAGCTAGTGTATTTCAAAAACTTGATGTGAAAACACATGCTAAAGGCTTTACATGAAGCCGTCTGCATTTTTGCCTCCTGCAGTGAGACAACTGTCACTTTTCTGCTTTATTATGTGTTCACATGACTACGTGCTGATTTAAAAAATTTGCAAAATTTGGTGTTTTGATTTGCAATAAAATCCGTTATATCTGTCACCTTGGATGTTTGCTTCCTCATGCTCCAGATTGTGCAGATACATCAATGGTGTTTTTACACTTATATATTTATGTTTACAAGGGGACTTTGATATACACAGAAATAATATAAATAATACATATGAACACAATGTATAGCAAACATTCACATATATGTATGCAAGCAGTTTATAGAAAATGGAATTACAGCAAGAATTTGTTTTGGTTGGAAAAAATGTGAAATTCTTGCAGAGTTCTAATAATACAATCTTCTAAAGAACCTTCTGATTTAGGCGAGAATTTTTTTGCTCTCAAACGTGTGCACTTGCAGGAGAGACAGAGACAGGGGACAAAAATGAAAATCACCCCCCATGGGGTCTGACCACGCCACAGTCCCTTATCCTCCATCCCCCTCTTGGGATTGTGGGCATGCACGAACACGCCTGGCTGAGTTTCAAACCGTCGAGTCTGGGACTGGATCCGAGCTCATTCATGTGGGAGTCCCACAACTGAACCACTACACCTGCCACCCCACCTCCCTTTTTTAATTGTTTATTTAATTTTTGTTTATTCATTCATCTAAATTTGACCAGAGAGAGACACACACACACAGCGAGACAGACAGACAGACAGACACACACACACACACACACACACACACACACAGAGAGAGAGAGAGACCAGTTCCATCTTTACCAAGTGGTCCATTTCTGAAACTTGAGTCCCTGTGGAGAGTCCTCATTGTTATTTTATTTATTCATTTATTTTTAGGCTTTTGTGATAGGATGAGTGCGTACACCCAGCAGACAGAGAGGGACAGAGACAGTGAGAAAGAAAGTGAGGAGTCACCCCCCAAGTGGGGATGGCCATGCCGCAATCCCTTCTCCTCCATTCTCCTCTCGGGATTTTGGGCACCCACGCACCCACTTTCTGGTGTGATTTTCAAGCCACTGAGACTAGGACTAGAACCGTGGTCGACCGTGTGGGAGTCCAACACCTTCACCACTACACCACCTGCTTTTAACAAGCAGTTTTCTATGATGTCTCTCGTCTTTACTAAATGGTCCATTTCTGTAACTTGAGTCCCTCTGGAGAAGCCTCATTGTTTGCGTGTTTATTTTTAGGCTTTTGTCATAGGGTACATGCACACACCAGAGAGAGAGGGAGCAAGACAGTGAGAGAGACACTGAGAAATCACCCCTCAGGGTTATGGCCACGCCAGAATCCCTTTTCCTCCGTCTTCTTCCTGGGATGTTGGGCATGCATACACACGCTCCAGTCTGAGTTTCAAGACGCTGGGTCTGGGACTCAAGCTGCGGTCGGCCTTGTGGGAGTTCAGTTCTTCAACCACCACACCACCTGCTGGTCCCTCTCATGAACTTTTTGAAGTCCCCTTGTAGACATACACACACATACACATTTGGAACTTTTGTTGTCTATATAACACTTGCTATAAATTATTTTTATTTTAAATAAATACTCTCTTCTTTGGTTGATTTTGTGTATTATTTTAAAGGCAAACCTTCCGAATTTTATAAATTTGAAGATCTCACATTATCTCTGGAGCCTGCCTAGAAAAGACCAAGACTTCTAAAGTGTAAAGGTTATACCCATCCACATACTCTCCTCATGGCCCTGGGAAGGAAGTGACAACAGACCATCACCATAGTATGTGTAGACCTTATTACCTGGGAAAGCACACATTATTTACTGAATATTACTCTGTTTTTTGTTTTTGTTTTTGTTTTTTGTTTTTTTCCCCCCTGGTTCCAATAGGTTACTCACCTTTGGTTTTCTCAGTGGAGCTCTATCTCCTGGTTCTAATATATTCTAGATTATCTCATTCATTCATTCATTCCTAGCATTGTGAGTCAGGAGAGCAAGTGGGGAACCAGCAGTTAGCGTAATGGCTATGTCGCTGGACTCCCATGTAGTTGACCGCGGTTCGCGTCTCGGACCCGGTGGCTTAAATCTCACGCCGGGCGCGTGTGCGTGCGTGCCCAAGATCCCGAGAGGAGAATGGAGGAGAAGGGATTGCGGCGTGACCATCCCCCCTGGGGGGTGATTTCTCGCTTTCTGTCTCTATGTCTCTCTCTGTCTGTCTGGCGAGCGCACGCGCCCTATAGCGAAAACCTCTCAAAAAAAAAAAAAAAAGGAGAGCAAGTGATACAATGTGAGCAAGCTCTTCTCCATGGGTCCAGCAAGTGGCATGGTGGCCAACCACGGTTCAGGTCTCAGACCCAGAGGCTTGAAAATCACACTGGGCACGTGTGTGTGCACGAGTGCCCAAGTTCACGAGAGGAGTATGGTGGAGAAGGGATTGCAGTGTGGCCATTCCCCCTGGGGGATGATTTCTCACGTTCCATTTCTCTCTACCTCTCTGACTCCTCTCTGGTGAGCACACATGCCCGATGGCAAAAATCTAAAATAAATAAAAGTTCTGCTCCAAGAATAGATTTCATGTGGCATAGAAAGGAGATGTTACTCAACTGATCCAGGTGACAGTCTAATTGCAAGATGGTTAGGATGGGCTATGACATCATAGTGAGAAATAGGGATTATCCTTGTGGACTGGCTGCCTGAATTTGAAAAACAGGTGCCCAGGTTATTTTTTCTCTCTCACTTTCTCTGTTGAATGCACAGGTCATCAGAAGATTAAAACTAAATAACTGAACCCCTCTTCAAAAAAAAAATGATAATGAGTGAGATTACTGAGTCATATGGTTGTTCTATTTGTAGGTTTTTGGGGGACTCATCATATTGTTTTCCAACTGGCTGTACTATTGGGTTGTCTGGAAGTCATGACCCATTTTTGCATAGGGAAAAAAAAAAAAAAAAAACAGAAAAATACGTCATGACTTTTCCAACAACCTTATAGTTTACATTCTCACCAACAGTGTAAGAGGGTTCCTTTTCACCACAGTCTCACCAGCACATGTTATTCTTTCATTTGTGTGATCATAGCCATTCTGAATGGAGTTAAATGGTATCTCATTGTGGTTTTCATTTGCACATCCCTTATGATATGAGATGAACATTATTTTTTCATGTGATTTTTGGCCATCCGTATGTTTTCCTCAGTCATCTGTTCATCTCGTTTGCCCTTTGTTCTTTTTTTTTTTTTTTTTTTTTTTTTTTTTTTTTTTGCATAAAGAAGGTTTAATAGGGAGGGCTCTTGAGTTTAACACCTGAGGAAGGACAGTGAATAAAATAGGATTGAGCAGAAAGAAATGTCTTGCACAATATAGTAAACACAGAGCCTCGGGACCAACAGTTGGCATAACAGCTATGTCCCTGGACTCCCATGTCGTCAATTGCGGTCCGAGTCCTGGACCCAGTGGCTTAAACTCATGTTGGTCGCATGTGCTTGTGTGCCCAAGATCCCGAGAGGAGAATAGAGGAGAAGGGACTGCGGCATGGCCATCCCCCGGGGAGGTGATTTCTCACTTTCTGTCTCTTTGTCTCTTTCTGGCAAGTGCACACACCCTATAGCAAACCACCACCACCACCGGACCCCCACACACACACACAAACACCAAGAAAAAAGGAGCCTCAACCAATGCTTCAGAGACTTAAGGAAATGGGATAAATGTCAGGACCATCCTGTGTTTGGGACAAGAGATTAGGACCTTTTTCTCAAGCATCTTCATTGGATCTGGATCTTTCCAGGGATGGAGTGTGATCTCGAGAGTTGAACGAAATAGCTTTCTGCACCAGAGATAATCCTGGACAGGAACTGACTGCTGTGAGCAGCTGGGGGCTGTCCGTTATGCACTACCAGCAGCTAGTCCCTCTTCCTTTGTGAAGAGGGACTCAGTAGCGTGTCATACACCCACTATATTCTGCTGCCATCTTTGTCCAGGCCACTGTTTATAATCTATCAGGTCTCCCTGCTGGAGCCCTTGATCATCACAGCCAATTCTCTTTCCAGTGGCTAGTTTCATTCTTACAAAACATAAGATTGGTTATTTTGCTTCTCTGCTCAAAACCCTTCAAGTGCTCCCCATTTCACTCCCAGTAAAAGCCAACGTCATGACAACAGCCTACAATGCCTTGCATGAATTTCGTATCTTCACTTCTTTTTCCTGTTGATTTTATTATGTGTTTAAATATAATTTAATCACTGTATATCATTACAGCATGCAAAATTAATTTCCCTTCCTTTGTGAAGAGGGACTCAGTAGCGTGTCATACACCCACTATATTCTGCTGCCATCTTTGTCCAGGCCACTGTTTATAATCTATCAGGTCTCCCTGCTGGAGCCCTTGATCATCACAGCCAATTCTCTTTCCAGTGGCTAGTTTCATTCTTACAAAACATAAGATTGGTTATTTTGCTTCTCTG